TTTTCTATAATTTTATTTTGAAATGGTAACGGGTAGAATGAGCCCACAATTACCTCGTTCAATAGCCTTAAGTCTGAGACCACTTTTTAACATTTTTCTTTATTTGTTCCTGCATTTTTCAGCATGATCCACGGAGCTGTATAGCGACTTTGATTGCTTGATAATACCTTCGTTGAGTAATTTGTCTAGTTTTATCTACATTCGCTTCCTTAATTTTACAAAGTATCTGGTCCTTTTTACAGTTATGGGTCCATCTGTTGTTGTTTCTATCCTGTGTTTCAACATATTAGTTGCCTTTAGCGGTTCACCCTCCAGGCATAATATGAGAGGGATAAATTCAACTAGTTCTAGTACGTGCTTTATTTTTTTTTCGTTGCACTTTAATGTGTCAACAAGTTTCATTATTTTCTTGTCCCGTGTTCGCATGCTCAATGTTTGGCTAGTATATTGGCCACCATGTCCCTATAATTTTATTTGTCTTCCCCTTTGCCCAACGTCCATTTTCTTGAACATCTGCTACTTTGGCATGGCTTCTGTTGTATATTTTTTGTTAATAAATTTCTGAATAGAATTCCCTCTTATATATTATAAAGGGGATCCTAGCCAACTTTACAATTGTCTTCAGTTTCGTTTACACGTGCAAATATTATTTTTCTCTTTTTCACCGGAATCTCAAAATATTTGAATTCATTTAGGGATCATGGTGCCGTTAAATATTAATACATAACTTCAGGCGCTAATAAAACCATCATATAACTTGAACGTAACCCAGTCGATTATGCCTTCCGCTTCAATCGGGAATTTATCAGGGACTACATGCAAAGTTACTCTTATACCGTTAAAAGGTATTTTCATCGGTCCTAACGTGTAACGTGCGCCATGAGTAACACCAGTTATTAGAACTCTATCGCTTCTATTACATTCATGGGCCTGTCTGATGTGAGACATCTTTTATTTATAATTAAAATTTTGGCACCTGTATTCGCGTAAAAATTTGCATTTATTATTTATGTCCATAGTTTCGGACTATCTAAAAGTACTGAGGGTGGTGTGCATCCTGCACTGGATATTCTTCTTTCTGCTTTGTGAAAGGATTTTCTTCATCTTTACTTTTAGGGCTTTGCATCAGCGATGTGTGCTCGAGAGAGTTATTATTATTCTGTATTCCCACAGTGCAAGTGTCTGGCTTACGTTGTGCTCTTTTTGTGTTATGAATAAGCACTTTGTTACCTTCATTTGCATCGTTGGTAACGAGCAGCTTTTTTTTGAAAACTCCTGCCTATTACCTGCTGTCTCTATTTTTTTCTATGTCATACTTATCTTTCCTTTCTTTACTGCTGTGTTCCGATCAGTGTTTGGGAAGTGCAGCAAATGACTTTTGAGTTTAAAGGCTTTGAACGTGGGTTTTTGGTTTTGTTCATAGGCTAATTATTTATTTTGTATGCAGGTTCTCTGTCTCAATAATAAAAATTTCCGTTATATTTCTCATTACTGTTATGACCATTTTTATTATTATAATTGTTTCTGTTGAATCTATTATCACTACGATTGTAGCCTTGATTGTTCTAATTGTTTCCCTCATTATTTTAATCATTATAATTATTTTGACCAAATCCCCCGTTACTTTTGTTGTAGCTTTGGTTGCTCTTATTAAACATATTGTGGTTATAATTATTATTATTAGTACTGTTGCTTAATCCATCATTTCTCCCGTTGTAACCTTGGTTATTTTTGGTCGTTATAATGGCAGAAATTATTATTATTGTTTTTGCCAAATCTGTCATCACTTTCATTGTAACCCTGGCTGTTTTGATTGTCCCCAAACAAGTATTTCTCGTTGAAAAAATTCTTTTCTCTTTCATTACATTATTGTATTAGTCCTGTAAATTGTTTATATTATTTTCTTTCTTTCGTCATCTCTTACCAATGTACGGCATTCGCTCTTGCTGTGTCCGTTTTGTCTCAATTAGTACGTAAAACTTGTTGTCGAATTTCCGTGGTTATTTGTTGCAGTCAATTTTATTTTAGTATCGTTTCTCGCTACCATATCATGTTCTTGTTTATCTAAATTTTTTGTCTTTCTGGCATCTACATTGACTTGAAATATCATGCACAGTTTCGTTGTATGCTCGTTGCAAAATGAGCATGGATTACAAATTGTCTTACTCGGGTAACATTTATGCGTATTTTTTATTTTCACCTGGTTGTAAATGTACTCATTTTTATACTTTTTTTTTATCCCTACTTGTGGCATCCTCATGCACGCGTTACGCCATGTTAGACCATCGCAGTGTAAGCTTATTTTGCTGTCTTTTTTCATTGCAATCACTCTTGCTTTGCCTAATGTTTGTGGGTTGCGGCAAGTTACCTGGTAGTTGTGTGGGACCTGTAGCCCATAGCAAAATTGCCTGATCGACTTTTCTTCTGCGTCTTTTTTTGCAAAATTTTTTTGTTGTAGAATTAATTAAGTTAGTATCATATTGAGTTATTATTTGACTGTGTATTGTTTGGATTCTGTCACAGTACGATTTTACTGGCTCGTTTTTTTGTTGCGACATGGTTCTTAGTTTTGACTATAAGGTGGTAGCACTGCCGGTTCAAGCATATCTATTTCCTAGTTCTGTTGAAAATTTATGAATTGAAAAAAATTACATTAATCAGGGAATAAACTCGCCTGCCCAGCTTCGTAACCTGTTTACAAAGGTTACTATTATTAGTTTTTCGGACAGCAAACCTACTGTAATAGCTACAGTTCTGGTCATTTGTACGAACAATAGAAATTTTACTGGATTGCCATCGAATACTAGTATATTGTTGGCGAGATGACTCAATGTAGCTAGGGAGTTTTGTAACCCGCATCCATGAATAATGTATGTCTAAGAATTGTCGTGCGTCCATTCTAGTACAAATATTATGATTTTCAATAAAATTGTTATCTCTATCTGTTGCACTATTAATTTGAGAACACGGAAGTTGTCCCCAAGTATCCAATTTATTCCGTATCACTTCCCAGGTTGCAACTGTTGTCAAGTCATTTATAGCATTACTTCTGTTATTTTGAGTCAATGTGGCTCATGTATACTTTGCTTTAGGGATTACTCCATTTTCTGTGGTAGGAGAAATTTCCTGCACTGCGTCTGCAAGAACATATCGTCTTCTCACCCTCCTCCCTCTGATAAATTGTTCACTTCCACGATGCTTATGATGTAAGCTTCTGTTTTTTTGTACCTAGTTGGTTTCATCAATTTTTTATATTTTTGTGTTCAATTTTGAGACGCTTTAGTTATGTATTTTGGGTTTGTTTGATAGCTATGAGCACACTTAACGAGCGTTGGTCAATGGCCTTTTTTCCGTTCTTGCTTTCGATTAAGTACTCTTCTTATTTACTTATTAATTAATTAAAATTTTTTTGTTTGGGGCCTTCATGCAATCATGTGTTACTACTAATGTTTTGAAAGTTTCCGATGTAGTAATAATATCGATGTATTGAAATTATCTCTCTAGCCGCGTATTTCCCTCGAAGGTTATGAGTATAGTATATATAAAACAAAGAAAATTTACTTACCAGATCCCTGTCATGATGTTTAGTATAATGATGACCCTGTGTGTATCCATGAGTTAGCCCTTTGATCCTTCTTTTAGTTGATCTGCCTTCTCTTTGCATAACGTGTTTGATTTCTGTCCATATTTCCCTAAGTTTAGTAATTGGTATATGCCTTTTATGTTCCGGTATATTGGTTCACTGACTTGATATGCAATCATTCTTTCTTATTGTTGTTCTGGTCTGGCAGCAGTGTTGAGAATTTTTTTCGACTATTTCTTTCTTTCTTCCTCCGCTTCTTCAAGCTTGTTTATATTGCGGTGTTTGGCATGCCTAATTTGGCGTCTGACATTTATGACCCTTTTTTGCGATGAACGATACTAACTTTTTTTTTTATTGCACTGATTAATAGGAAAAATTTTTTTTGTTTTGTGAGACTAAGTGATTTTCGTGTACGAGACATATCGTAAGATAATTTTGTCTGAATCCCTATTCTGATTATATAAATTTTTCTTAATTGATAGTCAAAAAATCAAAAACGAAGAAATATGCTTAGTAAAAGACGAAAAAATAAAAAAAAAATATTAAAAATTTAAAAAGGTGGATCTTATTTGCAAGGTGCAAGTTATCGAAAAGGGCAAAAAACAACTACAGTAGAGAAAATAGTCAGAGGAAAGTAGAAACTTTCAAAATTTTGTAGGGCTAGATACGTACATGGCAGTAAATTGTGTAATTCAGCAATAAAATAATGAGGGTTATACTAAGTATACGCTTTATCATTTCTCTAGACAAAAAGAATTCAAAATGAAATTAATAACTGATACTTGAGAAAAAAATACGAGTATTATGAGGATCGGAAAAAAATGGCTTGTGGAAACGTTTTTTGCCATAACTTGTGTCATACTCTCGTCTTTTCACCAGTAAGATTTATTTTTTCTGCTTGAACGTAACAAAATTAGGAAAATGCCACCGACTATGGTGTAACCTTAGATTAATCTGTATGAATATCAGTCTTATGATTATTTTCTACTTTTAACACCATGGACAATAAAAGTATTTACAATTGATGCAATTCCCATAGTTATAATTTAAAGCGTTGTAGTTCGTAAAGTAATTAGCATTATTTACAGCAATACGATTAGGTTTAGGAGGATCCTACAAATTTGAGATACTGTGACATCAAAAAAAGACCAAATACTAATACTAAGTAAGTAGTAAAATAATTAAAAAACATTAAAACGTGATAGTTTAGTCATATTAAGGATCTTTTAATTTTAACATTTTCTGAAAAGTTCTAAATGACTGACCTTAGGGGGTTATATCTGTATAAGCAAAAAAAACGATTCTTAGTTTTTATACATTAGTAATTTTTCAAAAAGCTGTTCCTAAACTCATATTTTGCATATCAATCAATAACGTAAGATAATTAATTTATAAATAAATGTTTTTATACTCTAACCTGCTCAAGCTTCTTTTGCCGGCGTTCCCTTGTCTCTGCCTTGGCTAACATAGTGTCCCGATTTATGTGTGTAATCGTAAAGTGCTTTTTGTGCAATGAAAGAAAAGTCTTTAGCTTTACAATAAACTTACGCCGTGAGCTCAGAGAGTCCAGCTCAAGGACTAAATCGTAGTCTCGGGGAACACGCAGCAACACTAGACCCTTTGAAAACTGTGAGTCACTTTCCTGAAATAAGATCCCCATAATATGTAATTAAATTTACCATGATTGTTTACACTCTGTACACTCACTCTTTTACTTTCTTATCAGATATTTCTGTAAGACATATTTCTCTAATTATTCGCAATAATTTTATATTATATACATTTACGATTAGTCACTATTTTTTAATATACAACTTTTTAATTTTTAATTAGAAGAACTTAACACGAGAAATCACTGTCAATATTGTAATTTAAGAAATTATTAAAAGTGTGATTATTCATTTCGTAACGTGAGTTCTAGAAACCTATCTAGCAATATTTTTGACGACTATAGCTTTTTTTTTTTTTTTTTTTTTTAATTTATTATTTATCATTGCCCGTAGGCTCAGACATGGCATTTTTTTACACAAGCATAGTGTAAATTAGCCATCGGTACACCTAAGTTATGACCAGATGTTTATACGAATAAACACGAGGGCCAACTCAGTCACATTTTTGATCACGTAGACGAAGCGTCAGAGAGACAGTCAATCGACCCTTGAAAATCAAGAGCACAGGCGAAACAGCGAGACTTGAACGGTCATCCATCCAAGTACTAACCGCGCCAAATGCAGCTTAATCTCAGAGATCGACGGAACTGCAACTCTACCGTTGCGCCACCACGACCGCTAATGACTATAGTCATAATAATAGAACGTGGTAGTGACAACATAAAAATAGGAAAAAATAGTAGTTGAAGCTTGTTACGTGTTTGTTCATTGACAGTACTCTTCAATACAGCTGTACCAATCATTTTAGCCGTATAATACACTGGCGTAGAAAAAAATTTCATTTTAAAAAATAGATTTTGCATGTACACGGAGAGGAAATCATGGGTTCAACACATAGAGGTTACCTGGCTTTCAGTGCATACAGTCTCCCTTGCGTTAAAAGTATGAAGCTGTAGTGCTTAACGCCAGCAAGTGCTCGTGTTCGGGCCATCAAGATGACATGCAATCAAGCCAACGAGCACATAGCTGCGAGGCGAGAGCCACTGCGGCCTAAGCGCCTAGACTATACCTGAGCTGTAAACGTAAGAAATGTGACGGGTTTGACGCTCAGAGTCTTTTGCGTTTTGTGCATCAGCTGACGATTGGTGGGAGCGTATGGCAAGAGGGGCATACATACTAATATAAATAGCAGGCGCTCCCGCAAATCGTCAGCTGATGCACAAAACGCAAGAGACTCTGAGCGTCAACCCCGTCACATTTCTCACGCTTACAGCTCAGGTATAGTCTAGGCGCTTAGGCCGCAGTGGCTCTCGCCTCGCAGCTATGTGCTCGTTGGCTTGATCGCATGTTATACTTTATGGCCTGAACATGAACGTTTGCTGGCGTTGAGCACTACAGCTTTGTGCTTTTAACGCAAGGAAGACCACATGCACTGGAAGCCAGGTAACCTCTATGTGTTTAACCCATGGATTCCCTCTCCGTGTAAGATATGATTAAATATAAGATCAAACTCAAGGAATATCTTTGGTGCTATTCTTAACTAAGTTTGCCCATGTTAGACCTTTAACTTTTAAAACATAATTTTTTTATTATATAACTTACATCTACTTTTTATTTAAATGAAAATACAAGTCCCAGGTCAAGTAAGAGCCAATGTCGTAGAAAATAATGCATGAGAAGGCAGTCAACGCGTTTTGTTATTTATCATTGCTTCTCTTAGCCATACTGAGAGGTTTACTGTCAACAATTAGGAATATAATGCGTTTCAATTATTTCACTTTAACTTTCTTGTCTCTTTGCAGTTCATTAGAGTAATTTCAAAACAGAACATATTACATAAGGAGTGGTTTATCAATTAACTTCGAAGTACATGAATTTTGGCATTTCTACTACTATGGTCGAACAAACTAAGTTTCTTAGAAAACTAGTTTAATTATGATAAACACTTTACAACTCGTTCTAAGGCAAATCAGTCATACTAAAAGCAATAATAAAAATAATGCCTTTTTTTATTATTGTTGTATTAGCTGCATTTCAAAAAAGAACTGTCATAATTCCATTAAACTAAGTACACCATAATTTGTTGCTGACTTGTGGAACATAAGTCGATTTTATTATTACCACCGTTCTTGAGATGCAGTGGACAGGCTAGCAAAATATTAGTTAAGTATAATGATGACGATGTTTTCAATACTAATAATAATGTTAAAAGTGAGTACGAACCAAAATTCGTTGCTATTTAGATATTTTATAGATGTACTTTTACATTCAAGGTTAAAACTAACATCTTAGCTGATATACTCGTATTGATATCATTAGGTGAGCGTAGCAAGTAAAAAAATTTATTGCTTCTTAATGTTCGAAAACTCATGTACTATATATTGCAGATTTGTAGCTCCTTTCTTATGAAATATCTAATTTTATTATCGTAACCATTTACAAAAAACAATGGATGTATTTATAAAATATTAAGTCAGTGTAGCCTACAAAAATATTTCTAACACTAATGACATTTTTTTAAAGTAATATAAACTAATATTCTGAGCAAGTTTGTTGGATTAAATATACACTGTCATGTATGAATGTATGAACAACAACACATACTCATATTTCAAATAGTATTGATTCCAATATGGGATTTCCAGCTGAACACGAACACTTATTGTTTTACTACATACAAAAATAAGGTAAATAAAATTTTCTTGTTAATTACATTCAAAAAATCTCAGCATATGACTACAAGAACTAGAAAAATGTGCTGTTTTGTGTTTTAAAACTTATGTGGTATTTGTTGCTACTTCATTGCACGAAGTTTGCAATGAAATTTATTATTTGGAGTGCGTAGCAAAAGAAAGTAAAAGTTGTTGACACTAATTTCCAGGCTCAATACAGGAGGAGAATTAACTGCTTGTTAGGAAATATGATATATATACATAGTATACTTATATAGTATATAGTACTGCTTTATACGATGGAATAACAGAAAAAATTGAATTCAACGAATTTTTGAAGCGAAGCTTTTTATGGACCGTTCTGGGGCCAGGAGTGAGCTGGCATAAAAAGAAAGGTTTAAAACAACTAACATGCTTTCCCCACTACTTTCAATAATCATAGAAGCGAAACATGTACATACAAACAAAACATATGAGGTTTTTGCCTACAGAGCAACAATGAAACTACCCCACGTGACTCGCCATGCGTTATAAAAATATATCTCATGCTGTAAACGCAAACTGAGATGTAACTGTAGCGTCACAACCATTTGTGAACAGTTTTATTGTAAATCGTGAGTCAAACGCCTGACAATCATGACTTCAGAGAAGTAAATCGATGGCTCAAACGCATCAACTATAGATATGGGCTAAACGCTTGGTGGTAATGGAGTTTCTGCAAGGCCATCTTGCTTTTGCTTTTCCCTGTTTGAATCCTTATGCTTGTTCATTGCGTTAAAGCAGTCAGTGCATATGTATGTATGTGTGCATATATATATATATATATATATATATATATATATGTGATTCTCTGTCAAGTGACGACCCCATGTTGTTTAAAATTGTATTAAGTTAATCGAAACAAATTTGGGCTAAATATAAAGGTACAACCTTATAGTTTCACATGCTCACGGACATTTTACCAAAAGTCATTTTTTAAGTCCAAAATGGTGTCTTCCATTTAGTTTGAACCTCGTTATCACTCAAATGATTACAGAAAAAAAAATACATTTTAGTACTCATTTCATGAGCCTATAGGTCTGTACTAGTTACTATTATGAAATCTAATGTTAGGCTTTAACTTATATTTTGAATGTCAACAATTATTTTTTTTAATTAAAATGACCTACTTACCTTCAATACCCTTATGAGAATCAGTCAATGGCAAGTTTTAACTATTAAGTTCACGTGATACCGAAGAGGTTGGCTTACCACGTGATTTTAAAGTTATTTTTGAGGTTATTGTTGACATTAATAATAAAAATTAAAGTGTCACATTAGATTTTAAAATAGTAACTAGTACAGACCTATAGGCTCATGAAAAAAGTACTAAAATATATCTTTTTCTGTAATTATTTGAGCAAAAACGAGGTTCTCACTAAATTTAAGCCACCATCTTGGATTAACAAAATGAATTTTGACAGAATGCCCATCAGCATACGAAACTATAAGGTTACACCTTTATTTTGAGCCCAAATTGGTTTCGATTGACTCAATACAATTTTGGACAACATGCGGTCATCGCTTGACAAATAATGGCATATAACTATATAAAATAAGTGTACTCAGTCTACCTACAAAACAACTTGTATACTTTGAGACAATGAAAAATTTTTCCAGATTTAATAATTAATTGTTGTCACTTTTGATAAGCAGTGTTATTTGTTCTATGTGAGAATCATCGATGGAGATCCATACATATGTATATTAATTAATATTTCCCGTTGTTATTAGAACCTTTCACAAACTATAAAAAATTTGAACAAAAGATTTATTTTAACGAAATTCAATTTTTAACGTTAATACTTTTTTTTTTTATTTCAAGTCACTGNAATATTAGGAAATTTTTTTAAGGATATTTTTTGACAAATGAATTTACCAGTTATGATTTTCTTCTCCAGTCCCACTACACCCTGCGATTTCTGCGTTGTCCCACTATACCCCATTTTACCTTAGCGAATAATGTATGATGGGTGAGAGATCCTAAAATCAGGTAGCAAGTGGGGGAAGTAAAAGCAAGGTAACTTTGAAAGAACTTCTTTGCCACTAAGTGTAAGCTCACAGCTATAGTCATTTTTTTTATATTATTTTTTAATAATTAAAATATGCCTCTGATACTAGGGATTTGTTAAATAAATCAAGCTCGTGTTTTCTTTATTAGCAAGCAGTTCAAAACAAAGTTTCAAGAAGTAATGTGATAATTGAATAACTACAGCCCATGATACCACAAATATTATCAAACACTCCACTTATTTAGGCAGTTTGATGAAAAAATAGCATAAAATACTCCATTTACAACTGTGAGCATAAAGACCACTGGC